CCTCCTCCTCCTCCTCCTCCTCCTCCTCGTATTGTTCTTAGTACTATTGTTCTTAGTAATGTTAGCATGAACAGTTGTCATATTCTTCTTAATCGTATAAGTAGTGTTCGTAAAAAATATTATCAATAGTATTAGTATCGTTAGGAGTATGAATATCAGTAATATCTGTATATGTACAAGTATTATTAGTAGTATTAGTATTGTTATCACTATATGACTATTCTGAACATTATCCGTATTAGTATTATTAATAGTAGTAGTCGCATCAATATAATTATCATTACCACGACTACTACTACTACTACTACTACTACTACTACTACTACTACTACGACTACTACTACTACTACTACTACTGCTACTACTACTACTACTACTACTACTATTACTACTACTACTAGTATTATTATCAGTATTAGTATTATCATCACTAGTATTAGCATTATGCTTAGTATTCTTAGTATTATTAATATTATCATTCGTAATATTATTATTAATAGTATTATTAGTCGTGTGACTAGTACTATTATTAGTATTATTAGTAGCAGTATTGTTATGATTATTTGTAAAAATATGAGTATAAAGGTTATTAGTATATTACTCGTGTTATTAAAAACAATAGTATTAGTAACACTAGTGTTATTAGTAGTAGTACCAGTATTGCGATTAATGTTAGTATTAATATTAATATTAGTAATAGTATCAGTATTAGTATTAGTAACGTTATTAGTATTATCATGATTAGTGTTAAAATTATCAGTAATAATACTCTTATGTTAAACATTAGTATCATTATCGGTGTTCGCATTATTCCTATCAGTATACTTATTACTATTGCCACTACTATTACTATTGTTAATCATTACATTATTCGTAGGTAGTATTACTGTTATTACTGGCAGGATTATGATTAACAATAATGGTATTAGTGTTATGTTTCGTGTTAGTAATGGTACTATTATGGTTACTAGTATGATTGGTACTAGAAATATGAATATGGTTGTTATTATTACTCGTATGCTGATTATTAGTAGTAGAAATATTGTCAGTATAATGATAAGGAGTAGTATTATTCTTATTACGAGTAGTATTAGTAATATTAGTAACATCATGATACGTATTATGTGTAGTCGTGTTATTATCGGTACTATGAATAATAATATTAGTAGTATTATTATGTTGTATTACCATTACTACTAATATTCTTAATAATGGTACTACTATTATTAATATCGCTATTATTCGTAGTAGTAGTAGTAGTAGTAGTAGTAGTGGTAATAGTGTTATTACTACTGCTAGTATTAATAATAACAGTACTAGTATGTTCATTAGTCTTAGTAGTATTACTATTACTATTATTAGTCGTCCTTTTCGTATTGCCCATAATCATATTCATATGTTTCGTTTTATTATTCGTAATAGTCTTCGCATTCCTTTTATTATTGATCGTCTGTTATGCTAATTATTACTATTCCTCTTCCTCCTCCTCCTCTTCTTCCTCCTCCTCCCCCTCCTCCTCCTGCTCCTGCTCATGCCCCTGTTCCTGCTCCTGCTCCTGCACCTGATCCTGCTGTTCCTCCTCCTCCTGTTGCTGCTCCTGCTCCTGCTCCTGCTCCTGCTGTTCCTCCTCCTCCTCCTCCTCCTCTCCTCCTCCTCCTCCTCCTCCTCCTCCTCCCTCAACTTCGTCTCCTCCTCTCCTCCGCCTCCGCCTCCGCCTCCGCCCCGCCTCTCCTCCGCCTCCTCTTCCTCCTCCTCCTCCCTCCTCCTCCTCCTCCTCTCCTCCTCCTCCTCCTCCTCCTCCTCCTTCTCCTCCTCCTTTTCTCCTCCTCCTGCCCTCCTCCTTCTCCTCCTCCTCCGCCACCTCCTCCTCCTCCTCCTCCTCCTCCTCCTCCTCTTCGTCCTCCTCCTCCTTCTCGTCTTTCCCGCGCCCCCACGCGGACCCCAGGGATGACCCGAAGAGGCCTTCCAGGGACACCCTTTTGCTCTCAGAGATCTCTCCGTTCACCATGGCTGCCCAGTTTGTTTCACTACGCGTCGTTTCGTCCTTTTTCCCGTCAGCTCTCAGGGGCAGGGTTTCTGACTGGCCAGGTGGGGATACTTTTTTGGCTGGCGAGCGACGCGGACAGACGCGCGCCGTCTAACAAGTCGTGATGGTGCAGGCCAACCGCAGGCAGCACGCGGAAAGGGGGGCCACAACGCTGGCGAAAACAACGCGGCGGAAGCGAAAGAGAAAGAGACACACGAGGAGAGCAAGAAGGGCGAAACGAAGCGAGAAAAACGGAAACCAAGGACGAGACTGAAGAGAAGGCAAGCCGCAGCTCACGCGCAAACCGGGCAAGAGACGAACGCCCCTTGCCGAACAACCGGAACTTGTATCAAGGCTGACCCAAGCCAATCTAAGGCACGCAGTTTAAACGTCACAGAGTGGCCGCTGGTACGAGGGGCGCGTGAGCGTTCGGCAGCTCCAGGAACACGTAGTCAGCCGCAAGGTCGCTGCCACCGCGAAACGCGAAGGGGCAAGCCACGAGCCCGGCCAAGCCAGCGCGCAGCACCGTCTCGAGTTCACCGCAGAAGGAGCACACTCCGGTGGCAACAGAAGCATACCAAGTCAGCCGGGGGGGTGACCAGCCTGGGCCTGCCAAGTACGCCAGCTCAGGGCGGGGGGGTGCGCCGCCTGGGACATGAAGCTCTCTGGGGGTGATCAGCCCTAGCCCGCCGGGCGAGCAGCCTTAGGGCGATAGGGGGATTGCATTGCCTGAGACCTGCAGCTCGAGAAACTTACGCCTGAGACATATTGGTGGCTGGCCTGGGAGCGGCGAGCGGGGGTGGGGATCCAAACGCCGTCCTGTGCCAAGAGCGGGGTAAAGCAGCCAGCTCGCGGTTGCACCGCATGAGAATGCCTGGTGCTCTGGTACGGTGCAGCTAACAGCCGCAGAAATGTGGGAAAGAGGCTGTCGCATGAGACATACTGGAGGTCAGACTGGGAGAAGCAAGCGGGGGGGAAGCCGATTGCCGCCTACGACCAAGAGTGGGGTGGAGTGTGGATCACCCCTCCTTCTTTCCAGGCCGATCTTTGTTGACTACATCTCTCCATGGGGTTCGCCTGCCGCCGTAGTCCACTCGCAGGCTCGCGAATTGCGAGGCAATGTCCGCTGTAAACCACCTTAACTGATAGTATTGCCTTCCTCGGAAGCCTGATCGTACATGTGACCATATCTGAAATTTCAATGCTAGTGTTCCCACTCTGTTGCATTGCAGCGTCGACGTGTGTCCTAGAGGTACTATGTAACCCACGTGCGAAAGAGCTTCTGTCGCTCTGCAACCTCCTGTTTAGTTTTCTTGATCACTATCGGACCCTGCCCGCTCATGTTTGTAACGGGCTGGTCGGGATACGCGAAGCGTGAAGAATTATACTTCCCGCCCATTGGCAAGCTCCCACGTCGACGCCCCTGAAAGAAAAAACACAAGACGAACCGGTTACCTTCTCGGTTTTTTTCCTTTCTTTCAGACTGGAGCTCGCGTCCATGGACTGCTTGTGCTATACTTCTCCAGGGACGGATAGGCGACGCTATGTGCTAGGACTGCTTGAAGGGCGGAGAGGGTGAGGCGAGGAGAGAGCCGGCAAAGGAGAAGAGAGAGGAGGAAAGGGCACTCAGAGGAGCCTTCAAACCTGAGACCTTCATTTTTCTTCAGGGCAGAGCCCCCGAAGTCCCAACACTTTCTCCGAAAAGGGGGGCTCCTCGACGATGCAGGCAGGCAGGTACCTCCACGATCTGTTTATGCAATGGCTCTCGATTCAAGCTGGCACTCCTGCAGAAAGTGAAATGGTGTTTAGAGTTAGATCCTGTTACAACTCTGAAAGTCGCGGCACCTTCCCCAGGGCCAGGCCGAACATGGCCAAAACCCTGCCGTCGTTATTTTGTCATGACTTGAGGGGGTCTGGGCACCGAACTCCCTGGTCGATCCAACAGCGTGGTGGACACATCGAGACCCTCTCAGTGGAGCGAGAGGCCGAAAACTGCCAACAACCTTCCAGCGTGACCTTGTCCCGACACGGGCATGCCTGTGAAGGGCGGCCTCCACATCACCTCTCGCGGCCTCTGGCTGGCAGGCGTTGCCGAGCGCCGCCGCCGCCGCGGCCCGCGCTGGGCAGCCCGAAGCGCCGCGCGGGACCAGCCGCAGGAATGGCCCGATGTCCTGAGAGGCGTCGATCGGGGGGAATGGCTCGGGGGGGGGGGGGGGAACATCGATGTGGAATCGGCGATACACCGCCGATTTGTCGGCCATGGGTCCCTGATAGCGAGTCCGCACCTTCACGGGCGGGGTGGGGCTATCAAGCCCCTGTCAATGATCTATGGGCGATGAGGCGTCGATGTCCCCCCCTGAAACTAATCCCCCGATGGGTGCCCCCTGGCGGTCGGGTCATCACTCGACTCTCCGGCGGCCGCTCGGGGCGATGTGGTGCCCAGAACGCCCTCGGCGAGGCGCAGCAGCTGGAAGGCATCCCGAGGCTGGGACACCGCCGAAAACCGACGAAAACGCCCAGATACCTCGAACATCCCAGCCATTCTCGAAAACACCTGGAAGACCCGAAACGGGTATGGAAAAAATAGGCACGATGCCCGCCAACAAATGTTGTCCAAAACCGACGACAGCGGCCGCTGTTGGACAGGCGGCCTTCTGTCTCAAATGGACAATCCCCGTAGCGGCACCGACAGCAAATCCTGTTCAGAGTGGACAGGAAACGCAGTCGGTCCCTGCACCCATTGTTTCCGTAACAAGTTCGAACGTCCCGACATCCCCCCCCATCGTTGCCCCTGACGTCCACGACTGGCAGCGCCACGCCGCGCGCGGCGCCAGCCGCGCCGCGCGCGCGGGGCACCGCCACAGCCCGCGCCGGGCAGCGCGGCGCGGGCGGCCCGGCGGCCACGAGCGGCAGCGCCGCCGCGCCGCGCGAGGTGCCGGCCGCGCCGCGTACGCCAGCGGCTCGCGCGCGCCAGCCAAGCGTGCGGGCGGCAGCGGCCCGCCCTGACAGCGGCATCCGCGCGGGCGGCTAACGCCCGTCTGCCCTGACAACCTCGCGTGATGAGCAACCAAACCACCGACAACCACCACAGCAAACCACCACCACCACCACCACCACCACCACCACCACACACACACACACACATTGAAAAAATAACACAACACGACTATTTAGATCCGCTGGCCCCCTTGTGGGGCTATCAGGCTGCGAGGCTGACTCTTGCTGCTCCCAGCACCACATTTCCAAGTCTCCAATGTTTGAGTCCTGCTTTCTGCTTCCAACTGTAGATTGTTGGAGGTCCGCGCGAGGGGGGAGCCAAAAAGAAGCCAGTTACCAGCCCCAACAGGCCAACATCGTTAATTTTACAAGTGATTGAAGGAGTCTGGGGTTCTCGCATTTTCGATTTTTCCACGCTCCAAGATGGCTCAAGAAGCTCCAAGACCGCCCCAAGACAGCCAAAGACGGCCCGAGAGAGTCCCTAGATGGCCTAATGCCCAAGGAGCTATCCGAGAAGCCCAGAGAAGCCCCCAGGAGGCCAGAGGCCCCAAGAGGCGCCCAATACGCGCCAAACAGGCCTCCAAGAGGCCCAAAAGATCCCCACGAGGCCCCAAGAGGCGCCGAAACCGCCTCCAAGAGGCCTCCGAGAGGCTCCCCACGACATCCCGACACTTATACAACGGGCCTCAAACCCACAACCCAAACACGGTGGTGGGATGTGCCGAAGGCCACTAGGATCCGCCGCCCCCTGCTGGCTTGCCACAGGGGTGCCCGGCGTGCTTGACGCTACCGTTTTTGCCTTCGGTTCTCTTAATAAACACAACAACAACAACAACAACAACAACAACAACAACAACAACAACAACAACAACAACTACAACATCAACAACAACAACAACAACAACAACAACAACAACAACAACAACAACAACAACAACAACAACAACAACAGCAACAACCACCACCACCACAACAACAACAAAAACAAAAACAAAAACAAAAAAAATGCGGCTCCGGCCCAGCTTGCCGGCCACCTGGAAGGGCGCGCAAGGCCGGGAAACGACTTCAACGTCCACCACAAAAAAATCTACGGGTCAGTGCCTTTCCCGCTCCAAGATGGCCTAGACTGCCTCCAAGCCCGAGGCCCCCAAGTTCGCCCAGTATGGTCAAAGACGGCGTCCACGACGGCCCAGGAGGGTCCAAGATGCCTCCAAGTCGGCCCAAGAAGCCTCCGAGACGGCCCAAGAGGCCCCCAAGAGGCCCCCAAGAGGCATCCAAGACAGCCCAAGAGGCCTCGCAAAGGTCCTCCAGGGAGAGGCCAAAGTAATCCCACCAGCCCTTTGGGCGTGAGTGGTTTAGAGAGCCCGCTCTGTTCTCAACCCCCTTCTTCCCCTTCGGGGAGGGGTTTACCCCTCCCCCTACCCCCTCCCCCTGGACCTGGAGAGGTCCTTTCGCGGGTGGTTGGAGGGGTCTTTTTCGACTCCTGAAAGGGCTAAAAAACGGCACCTCTCACGAGGATTCTGGCCCCGACGGGGGGGGGGAGAAAAAACCCGACCCTCTTCTTTGAAGCCAAAATCATTGATGTTACTACGGTTTTGGCCCCATTTTGGCCTTTTGATGGGGGCAGCGCTAACTACAGCTCCCCTCTTCTTTCAAGCCAACATCATTGATTTTACTACGGTTTTGGCCCCATTTTGGCCTTCTGAGGGGGCAGCGCTAACAAAAGCCCCCCTCTTCTTTGATCGATTTCCTCCAAGATGGCCCCAAGAAGCGCCCAGGAGGCACCAAGAGGCCCCAAGATGGCCCCAAGAGGCCCCCTGGAGGCCCCCAAGAGGATCCCAAACGGCCCAAAGAGGCCCCCCCGAGGCACCCAAGACGCCGAAAAGCCCATCAGGACGACCCTCTACTCGCCTGGGCGTCGTTTCTGGACGGGCAGGAGGAGGGGCCCGAACGACTCACACCAGGACGAGGGGCCCGAACAACTCACACCACGAGAAGCCCGAACGACTCACACCAGGACGAAGAGCCCGAACGACTCACACCACGAAGAGCCCGAACGACTCACACCAGGAAGAAGGGCCCGAACGACTCACACCAGGACGAGAAGCCCGAACGACTCAAATCACGAGGAGCGTTTTCTCTCCCTCCTCCTCCGCCTCGTCCTTCTCCCGCTCCCACCACAAGGAGGATGTACAAGGAGGCGGGAGGAAGGAGGAACAGGGGAGATATGCGGGTACAGGCGGAAACACGCCTGAAAAACACGACTGTCGGCATGCTTCGCTAGGAGTTGTTGTTTCGAGATGGGCTGGTGGGGATACGCGAAGCGTGAAGAATTGATTTTCCTAAGGTTTTGAAGGTTTTTTGTGTTTCGATATTTTCGGTTTCCCGACGGCCCTAGACGAGTTTGAAGGGGGCTGGGAGGCCCCGCCAACAGCTTCGCCCCAGGCGAAGCCAAGCTCCAGGTCGGTTGCATCGTAGTAACGATAGTCCCAATGCAAGATGGGAAGCCATGTCAAGTAAAAGGAGATGCCTATTAGTATCGATAGCGATAGCGCGCCTCGCGATGAGGCACAGTCAAATCTAGGCGGCCGGCCGCTTGAACCAAGACGGCCGCGGGCGCGCGCTCGCTTCCGCTCCTTACGTCCCTCAACTCACTTAAGAGTCGGGGGGGGGAGACAAAGCGCGCGTCCGCCACCCATACAGCGAGAACAATTCAGCAGCTAACCTATGCGAAGACAGGAAAGGAGACGGACCCAAAGGAGTTGGACCCGTCAGCGAGTTGCCTCGCGAATGTAGGGCACACGCATCAGGCGGCGTCAGAACTTGATGTCTGGCCGGCCCGATATGGCGCATGTCTCTTCAGGTCATGTTTGAAGGTCTGTATACCTCCCATGACGTGTAGGAGATGTCTCTGTCAATGCGCCCTTTTGCGTGTCCATCCGCAGTCATATCGCGGGTATCACACCACTGGATGCTATGCACGATCCCGCGCTCCATCATCTGTCGTATCCGACTTATGTGTCCTAAAAGGGTACACTCAGTCGGCTTCTTCAAGTCTTTGCTCGACAACGGCTTAAAGACAGACTCAGCATCGATGGTCCAAGTGACCTCGATGCACAGGCCACCCAACCCAAGTATGTCTTTCAACTGAGTGGGTGTGAGTGGCCCCGAATCGAGCTCGTGCAGAGTCACCATCGTGGGATAACAGTCCTCCAAATTATGGGCTGCTGCAAGTGTCTCTGCTGAATAGCTTGACCGGACTTACAAGCAGTGAGACTTGCAGTACGCATCAATCAAGTGTACGACAGGCTTGCCAGATGACGTGCTTCCACGTCGTAGCAGGTTTGCCCCGCGAATGCCATAGCCTTCGACGTCGTCATCGGCGTCTCCACTCAGGCGTCGATAGCCTGAGTCGCTATGTAAGTCGACCTCGAACGTGGGGTTCATCGCCTGGTAAACGATCTTCTTCGAGCAGGCCTGTAACTTTCTGGTGATCGCGTTTAATCGTCGCACTGGAATATTGGTCGGTTCTCACGCTGGAGAGATACTACATAGACCATCAACCAAATCTGGGTGATCAATGCGTATGCCAGCGCACCTCTGAGGCTGACGAACATATCTGCCACCATCTCGGTCGCTTGGGCGTCAGCGTCCGCGCCAGTCAACTCATGATGTTGTATAGGGCGGAGCTGTTTAATGGATTCATATTGATCCAAAGTGACAGTGCCGTCCTCATCCTTGGTGCACCTCACAGCACAGTTCGTATATGTGTGCTTGTTGAGTTTACACTTACCAAAGGTATCCTCAACGCATTTGACATACTTGTCAATGGTGTCCTCAGTACCATCAATGTTAATGTCATCCACATGTTTGGCCGTGAGCAAGTTAGTGCTCGTCTCGAACTCCTCGTCGTAAGAAGTAGGTCGGAGGCCTAATCCTCTGATGGTTCTCCTGAACTTAACTGAGAAAGCCCGTGGGGCGTCCTTAGTGCCTGTGCCCGGTTTCAAGCACTGCAGGCAGTGCTTTGACTCGTCGTAGTTCTCAAACCCTGGAAGAGTACGGAGCACAGTTGCCGACCCAGGCGGCAAGGTAAAACACACCGCACTTTCCTTTTCACCAGTTGCCTCGGCGAGTTCTCGATAGGTCAATCCTTCTAGGAAGGCCATGTTGATGTCCAGGGAAGCAATGATCCACTGTTTCTTGCACGCTGCCGTGCTGGCAAGTAGCCTCTGGCTTGACCTTCTGACTGTTCCCCAAAATATCTCTACATCGATAGCTTCCAGGCCCATGAGGCCTCGAAGTACCAGACGAAGTCGGATGGCGCGTTCCATCTCACCCTTGTCGTGTTTAACGACTTTCCGATTGTATACATATCTCGAAGTCATGATGTCCGACGCTTTGGCGATCTCCTGTAATTTGAAGCATTTATTGTCGAACCATGCCTTGACTTCGGTGAACAGGGCCTTCAAATGTTTCTCGGGATTCGCCTGGATGTCAGCCGTAGTGAAGACGTCGTCTTCCTTGACGACCACAGCTCGCTTTGCAGCGGCAGCAACATATACTCGCATGGTGGTCACCCGGTCTGCGTCTAACAGAATTTGTTGCTGCTCGAACAAGACGACCTTTGACATCTCCGTTGTGAGGCAGGGTTCAACGCATGGACCGTTTTCGCCAGAGTCGAGTCCACAGCTGTCGTCTTCGACCAGGGCCCACAAGGGAGCGAAGTACGTTTCCTCAGTCTCAGGATCATGAGTGCGCCCCCATTTCGGCGGGTGTCCCCGCTGTTCATCAGCCACAGTGGTCAACGCACTCTGGTCAGGATACATATGTGTGGGTACGGTAAAGAGTTCTTCTAGTGGAGCTGCCTCCAACAACTCCTTTTCCTCTCG